AATTCTCGAACAATATCCACGGCAGCGTGATCTCATAATAGCGAGCTCAGGTAAAGACTCTCTTCATATAGAGTCTTTTGTTCCTCCTCGACGCGCGAACTGACTCTAAGTCATTGACCTCATGCCTAGAGGCAACGACTTGAGGGACTTTTGTTCTGGACTGGGCCTGTGGCTGACCCAACATCGAGCACAACCCAATTCAATCCTACGCCTATGAAGGCTCAGAATGCCAGTCTAACCCGTTGGGGCCAGTATAAAGCACATCATCCATGTCCTCCTCACCCGAGGACATGTCACCAACCGATTCGCACGTTCGTGGACGTTTCTGCCCTTCGTAACGAGCAAGTCCTTCCACTAACCAGAAAATGAGGAGCAGTTGACCTAGGACGATGAGCACGAGATGTTCATCCCTACCTCCGCGTAGGATTCCTGATAGTCATCCGTTATGGGTTTGAACGATCAACCCATAACGGAGACCATTGGTCCAACGCTGGGGGCACTATATAAGAACACTCCTCTACAAAAGGGTCAGATATTTTATTCTCTTACTCTTTCTTACTACCTCTTCACCCGAACTGACTTAAGTATCAGAGTGTCGCCAGGTACACCCTTTATATAATAATTAAACTCTTTTTAACCTTTGATATTACTTAAATTTAATGGTTACCACTTAATAATTTACATAATTCTCGCAAAAAATAGTCTACTCACTTATGGTAATAAATAAAAATATCATGTTATAAAATAAAAATATTTTTTCTTGTAATATTTGATTACAACTCACATAATTAATTTTTTTTTGAAATAACATATTTTCAAAAAAAAAAATACAATAATAACTTGGATTTAAAAAAATAAATCAAAATGACATACTTTTAACAAGTATGCGCCATATGATATGGTTGTATCATTACAAAATGATCTCATGCGCCATATAATATGGTTGTATCGTTGCAAAATGATCTCATGCGTTATATTATATGGCGCCTCCATTGAAGCTTCACAACACACGCGTCATTTGATATGGCGACTACATTTGGCTTGCCTAATCCTTTTTTTTAATCCATATTTGATTTGTTTTTTTTTTACTGAAATGGTTTTTTAAAGGGTAGATACGCCATATCATATGGTGACTATACTATTTCATTTTTCTATAAGTAAGACTGCAGACTCATCTGTTACTCCACAATAATTATCATCACTATCCTCAACTCTCCACGACAATCATCACTAATATTTTCAACTTAATCTAGAAGTATGTCTGCATTCTTAAATTAACGTTCATTGTCGTCGTCATCATCATCAGAGGAGGAATCACTTCCAACATTTCCACTTATGAAAAGAAATGTCCTAGTTTATTTTTCACCAACAAAGCCTCTGATGAAGGTCCTACTCTAGAACACGCATACTTTGGATCATTTGCATAAGGAACTGAACCGCTGGCTAGAAGGAGATATTGTTGCAGGTGAAAAGATCAGGAAAATTGAGAGGCTAGTTGAGGAGTCAGACAGAAGTGGAGTTACTTGTGATTGGAGAAAAGTGGGAAATGATGTTGGTATCCTTATGATGATGTTAACATCAAAAAACATTATCTTGATGGTTGTAATATCCTAGACAAGTTGATGCATTGAGTTGTTTTATTTGGGTTTGTTGTTGTTATTTTTCGAATGTTATTTTGGTATTAGTTTATGTTGTTGTTAATTATTGTTGTTGAGATATTAAGTTATGTTTGTTTAAGTTATGTTATTGTTAATTGTAATCGCTTAGGTATGCTATCAATAGAATGAAATTTGTTGTTGATATAAAGAGACAAGGTTACATTAGAAACTATGATCTTGTGCTTGATCCTACATTGGGACATTTTGTACGATTGTGTCCCGGCTGCCAGCACGAACTACATAATATGACCATTTTGTTTGTTGTATCCATCTCCGTTCGAATACACGTGCTATTAGGGAAATCCTTTTTCTTTCTTCACATCAAATTATTATGCCAGGCAATTTCTCCTTCATATAGAGGTTCTCACGTTTCACCATGCATTAATAATTGAAGTTCTTACATGCCCACACTAATAGTCTTGCAGGACTACACTTCCAAGACTACACTAAAGTTCTAGCAACTACCCTTACAAGACATTAAAGTCTTAAAAGCACATTATTCATTGTATTGCATGCCTCATGTGATTCTCTGTATGACAAAACTACACTCCATCAAGCAATGACTTCACATGCAATGACTGCAAGATTCTCTGCATGACAATGACCAAGAATCTTATAAGATAACACTTACACGATTACTTGCACAAAGTTCATCACGCTTCACCATGCATTAATAGTGGAAGTTCTCACATGCCTACACTAATAGTTCTCACATGCATTACAAACTCTTCTCACCCATCAAAAACTCTCCTCATCAAACTTTCAGCAAGACAATAACTTCATCACAACCTACCTTTATACCGATTATTAAAAAATATCTCTACTCACAATGGGCAACGATCACAGAGGAACAATTGAGAACATCGCAGAGTTTGTAAGTGTTTTGCTTTATTTATTTTGTCATCCCTTACTAAGTTGTATTTTTCTTTAAAACTAAGGGTATTTATATTCTTTAGCAGAATGTATCAAGGTTTTGTTGTCGTGTGCATGACTACATACCACACGACCCATTCATAGAAAGATACCTAAATTTATGTAGCTTTGGTGATTTGATCAAGATCAAATCATACTCACTAGACCCCAAATTTATTCTAGCCTTGCTAGAACGTTGAAGACCAGAGACCCACATATTTCGCCTTCCTTTCGGTGAATGCACTGTCACACTACAAGATGCCTACATGTTACTTAGCCTACGCATCGATAGTAAGACCGTCAACGACAAAGTTAGTGTTAATAACCAACTTTGCAAAGATTTGTTGGACGACCCTCTCTGTGTCGAAACACCTCAGCCACAACGTGAATGTCGACCTATGGGACGGGGTATTAATTTAGAATACCTAAGAGAACATTACAATAGTATCATATTAAACGAGGAATCCACCGAGTATGAGAAGATACTTAAAACGCGGGGCTATATTATGATCTTATTTAGACATTTTTTATTTTCAGAAAGTACTGAAAATAGTGTAAATATTATGTATCTACCATTGTTACACAACATTAATAAAGTCTGCACCTATAGTTGAGGTTCAACTGTCCTCGCCCATCTATATAGTTCACTGTGTAAAAATTCAAAAAAAAAAATTCTTGTACTTTTTATGACTTCGCCTATCTCCTTCAAGCGTGCGGTTGGTCTAGAATGCCAACACTAGCTCCTATCAACTGGAATCCATTCACATTCCCCTACGCAAACAAGTAAGTTTATTTAAAAAAATCAAAACGTGTATACTTTGATGAAATGTTTCTTTGTAACTAATTTATTTGTGTCACTTTTTTTTAGGTGGTCTGTTCCGGGAATGAATTACCAACGATGTCCCAGGTTATAACACATTGGGCCGGACGATGTAATTTATCTACCAACGATGTACCATAAATTTGTTTATTTAATTACCACATCCTTGTTTTCCCATCCCACTATAGCCCCGATAACTCTTTCAACCCCACCCCAGCCCACTATAGCCTCCCACGAATGAACACACAATCGCCCTACCATCAAAATACCTACCCACTTTTTGACTATCAAATCCCACAACAACCATTGCATCGTTTCCAAAACTATTCAATGTACCAATTCGGTGAACACCGTCCACACCAAACCTAACCACCCGTCCCAACTACGAAAGCATGGGCATGGAACTGAATTACGGAAGTGTCGTTTGGCAGCAGCCCCCGACTATTAGGGACAGATGCTTCAAAATTTGTCTAATACGCTAGGACCATCTCAACACATACCTCTTTTGCAGGTCAACACGTAAAGGCCACAAACGCCTCAACAAAATCATGGTAGACTTCGACGCCGCGCAAATCCACCGTCATGTGGAATCAGTTGACGTTTTGATAGGGCTGGTCATTGAATTTTTTTTCATCTGTTATACCTTTTTTATATTACAAATACTATAATTTAATTTTTCTTTTGATTATTTTATTTTTATTTTAAATTTAATTTCTTAGTTTTCTAATACAAAATAATAACTAATATATAAAAAAAGCAAATAATTGATGAAATCCAAGTTTGCAGGAATTTATCATTTGGCGCCTCTTTTCGGCCAGTGGTGGCAATCGAGATTTGCAGGAAATAGAAGTTTTGTTCAAATTACACTATTATTTGACTTCATTTTGTACTAAATACCAGTATATTACTAAATAATAGTGGTTTCTTCAAATCCGCTAAACTGCAGGGCGCCAAATGATAAGCCTTCAAAGAGGCGCCAAATGATATGACGCATAAGATTATTTTGCAATGCTACCGCCATATCATATAGCGTATACTTATTAAAAAGTATGTCATTTTAGTTTTTTTTTTTGAAATCCAAGTTATTATTGTATTTCTTTTGAAAAATATATGTTATTTAAAAAAAAAATTCCACATAACTAATATGATTGTTATTAATATTTCTTGAATTTTTTTTAATAAAGAAAGTAAAATTACAACACTGAAACCTTTTTTCCGCTGCTTTCCCTCTCCTCCGTATTCCACTCCTTCTCCGCCGTTGCATCCGCCGCCGTCGGTATTCTTTTTCTCTTTTTCTTTTCTATTTTCTCACTCAATCAACACTTTCACCCATTCTTTGTCATTGCATTTTAATCATGAAATCAAACTATCATTGTTCTATATGCTATTTCAATTTCAATTTCCACGCCAATAAAACAAATCTCCAATTTCAATTTCAGTTTTTTTTTTTTCAATTTAATTTTTACTATAGGGCTTTAATCACACTTCCACTGTTAGATTTTGTCCTCAATATAATATAATCTCTCATGAATTCATTTTTTTTTTCATTCAGCCGAAAAGGGGTTTAGGGTTTAACATGATCTGCATTTTTGTGTTGCAGTGCTACTTCTATGTTTATGTTTGCTGTCTGTAAGGTAAAATTTATCTTTTCTACTTTGCTTACTAATAGAGTGGATGAATTTGATTCAAAAGTTTGTTATATGTAACTTTTTTTATGTGCATTCATTATGATTGAAATGATCAAACAACCCAGAGACTTTTAATTTTTAAACAGGATACTAAAGTTGCATTATTGTTGACTCGAGTCGGAAACACTGACATACTCGGGAAAACTAATAACCTTAGGGTGAATTCAAGTATGTCACTGAACTATATTTTACTCGCCATTCTGTAGACATATGTATGGGATGGTATCAAACTCCCCCAGACAATGTTTTTTTGGTTAATTTGTACATCTTGAAGTGACTCCCTACTCGTATAACTGCTTTTCGGCCCGTGGTGGCAATCGAGATTTGCAGGAAATAGAAGTTTTGTTCAAATTACACTATTATTTGACTTCATTTTGTACTAAATACCAGTATATTACTAAATAATAGTGGTTTTTTCAAATCCGTTAAACTGCAGGGCTATAGCGCCGCTATTTGACAATACTATTCCAACTTGTGGTAGATACTCATTAAAGAATTTGTTTGTTTGTTTTTCTTTTTATTTACTTCTTTAACTGCTTCTTAGTTTGACGATAAATTACTTTTTTTGCAAATTTTTGTATAATTTATAACAAGCTTTTGGTATTGTTTTTGCCGACTTTGATTTGACATGCATTGGGGCAGGTTTGAGTGGGATAAAGTTAGTTTAACTGACAGCTCTAACTGTTTCATGATTTAGGGAGCGGATTTCTATTTTGCAAAGATAGTAGAAGAACGTGGGTTGGTCGAGTGAGGTGTGCAGTTGCAGTGGCAGGAACAAGAGAGAGAATGGAGATGGAGAGGAAAGAGAGGGTAAGAAAAGCTGAAGCGTTGGTTGAGAAAGCAATGAAAGGGAATGATGCTTCTCATGATGCAGCGCATGTTTGGAGGGTTCGTGACCTTGCTCTCTCCCTTGCCTCGGAGGAAGGCCTCTCTTCTGATCCGCACTCCATGGAAATTGTAACTATCCTACGTTCTTCTTATTTCTACTTTATTACCATTATAATCTTTCTATGCTCGCCTCATTCTCATTTTTATATTTCAGGTAGAGCTTGCTGCACTTCTGCATGATATAGGTAACCAAATATCGATTATCAGCTATAATTGTTGACAGAATTGTTTGTCCATGTAACCATATGTGTAGTTTCTATTTTAATCAATAAAACTCAAATTGTAGTTGACTCATAAACTCATTTCTTTGTTGATACTTGCAGGTGATTACAAATACCTAAGGTTAGTATGTATTATAATTTTATAATTTTTGGTTGGTTTTACGACTTTCTTCCTTTTGTCTTTCATTTTGTTCATATTTTCCCCCTTCTCCTCATATGAGCTAACACTATCATTTAGGGACCCGTCCGAGGAAGAAACTGTTGAAAATTTTCTCACAGAAGAGAGAGTTGAAGAGAATAAGAAATCAAAAATTTTGGAAATCATTAAAGGAATGGGTAAGTTGGCAAAGCTAAAATTTTCTTACTTTTTTCATGTTTTTTGATTGAAATTGATATAGTTAAGCATTAATTTAGGACATAATTGAAATTGAAATTGATATAGTTTCAAAGACTCATTGTTGATGCTGCTTCCAACATTCAGGTTTCAAAGAGGAGGTAACAGGAAAAGGAAATACCAAATGGTGTCCAGAATTTGGTGTTGTCCAAGATGCTGATAGGCTTGATGCCATTGGTGCTATAGGTATTTGATAGAATCCGGTATCATATTAATGGAAAACGGGGAATAATAATTCCCTTTGATTGTAGAAATATGAATGCTTTTCGAGGCTTTATATTTCTGCAATATTAGTGTTATATCTCGGACACGTGCTGGTGTCCAACACAACACCAATATTAAGAATTGGTTCGTAAATGTGGTATACTTAAATCAATTTCATCGTCTGCTTCCAATATTAGGAATTGCACGGTGCTTCACCTTTGGCGGGAGTAAGAAGAGGGCGCTGCACGATCCAGCCATTTTACCAAGATCTGATTTATCCAAAGAACAATACATGAACAAAGAGGAACAAACTACAATTAATCATTTTCATGAGAAGCTTCTCAAGCTTAAAGATATGATGAAAACCAAGGTACATACAGCTGTATTACTATTTTCAACAACCTTATCAATTTTCCACTGCTGCATTCGTAAATTTACGTTATAATGTGTCAAGGAGTTATAATTTAAGTGATCTATTTCAGGCTGGGAAAAGAAGGGCTGAGATAAGGCACAAGTTCATGGAGGAGTTTGTGAAAGAGTTCTACGACGAATGGAACGGTTCAATCTAACAAATACTTATTCTCGTTGCACTTATAAATTTGCACCGGTATTTGTTAAAAAGACAAAGACATGCACAAGATGCTGGAAATTATTTACATCTTGTCTTCTTAGTTGCAGCAGTTAGTAACCGATTCATGCTTCATGCTCTAAGCATAGTTTTTTCTTTAACCAACAAACAATGTCCTTGGTTTTTGAGGCTACCCTATATATAATGTGAACTTTTATATATATTTCAGTTAACAATGTTCCTTGGTATTGGAGACTAGACTATATATAATGTGAATTGTTTCTCTATAGTTGTGTTTTTGCTTGTATGTATACTTTGATTATAAACTAGTTGTGTTTTTGCTTGCATTGATTGACACTTTCTAGATGACATTGAATTTTAAATGGTTTAGACTTTGTTTAAGTAGTGAATATATGCCATGAGTTTTAGTTTAGAGGATTTGAATTATTTTCTTATTGTGTAATGATTTTTTTTTTTGAGGATTTGTAAAAATGAATAGATTTTATAAAATATTTTATCAAAGTTAAATTGAGAAAATTTTAAAATTTTAAAAACTTAAAATTTGAAATTCTTTCATTACCTTATGCAATGTAAATCTCAAATTGGTTTTTATAATTTTTTGAAATTGATTTCTAAAATGTTTTAAATTTTTTTGAATTAATCCTTATAACTTTTAAAATTTGAAATTGGTCTCTAAAATTTAACATTGTACTACATTTGGCCACTATTTTTTGTATTTTGAAATGGGTTCTTGAACAGATGGTGTGGATTATAATTAATATCACAATACTTTATTCCTGTCAATGTGTTAGATAAATAAATAAAATTTTCAAAAATGCTTTTAAGATATATTAAAATAATGAGACTGGAGAACTATAATAATAATTTTATATTTTTATGGGAATGTCATTTAACATAGAAATAAAAATTAAAAAAATATGTATTTCCAAAAATAAAAGACAATAATTTATTAAAACATCAAACAAAAAAGAATTTCAATGTCACGTCCTCAAAAATAACATTTATATCTATAAAAAAACACTCATTCAATGAGATTTTATATAGAAGAACGGTTAAAAGTAAATAATGGGATTAAAACTTCATTTTAAAAAAGAAAAAAAAGGAGAGGATCATTTTAAAAATAAAAAATCAATTGAAACATTTAAATTTCATTTATTTTAACCAATTTGTTTTTAAAGAGAATCAATTAAAACATTTAAATTGTTTAGAATTTTGATATCATCAAAAAAATTAAATTTAAAGAGTTTAATTGAAGTAATTAAGTATATTTTTGAACGAAATTAAAACATAAATCCTATTTTTTTCTTTCTTTCTTTGTATAGGGAAATAATTTGTTTGATAATGTAGATTCTACCTAAATTTAAAAGTAAATACTTTACAAAGTAGTTTTGTTAATTTTAATTAATAATAATTAGCAAGCATCTTTTCAATGGACATGATTTATCATTTTGTTGTGCCACATCACATTTATACAATTCAATATATTTTCACGTCAATAATACATATTTAACCACCCCAAAAATAACTTACTTTTTTAGTAGTTTTTATTTGTACTAAACATACATACATTGGTTCACAATAATTTAGTTAACAAAAATTTCACATTACTACTAGTATTTTCTAAAATTAATATTACACGTTCCATAAAAAAAGTATATTACAAATTACAAATATATGAATTTATGAATATTTTATTTACAGAAATCCTCAATCCTAACACAGAAACCATATACTCTTAATTTTAGCCATAGGACATAAATGAGGTTGCCATGAAAGTACATGTTTTTATTGACAAAAAGAATTTGTAATTTGAGCCTTGCACAACTTTTGTTTATTAAGAAAAGTTATGTACAACATTAACTACAATTCTACAAATGCACAAGCATACGAGAATGTTGATATCTATGTTCTAGATTTTAAGATTTGAATTGTGAGCATTGTGACTCAAAAAATACATACTTTCTAAGTGGAAGGTGTCAAACAAAACAGTGAACCTTGATGAATGCACCTACAAAACTTCATCAGCAAGTATGTTCCGACCTAGTTGAGCATGGCTTGGAAGTACTTAATAAATAATGAGATGCGTAGACTCTGCAAATGTTTTTAACTAGAAGACGAAGCAGCTTTCCGTTTGTTCGATTCCTCTTGCTCTTCCTTGGCAAACTCTTCGATTAATTCCCGCTGTCTCTCTGTCAGATTCCTGTAAAAACATTTCAAACATGGTTTATTGAACGGAGAACCAAATCATGAATCGAAAGATCTATTTTCCGAATCTAAGCATGCAGTAGTACAAAGAGGAAAACACAGTTCATAAATAACACGGCGCCATATTATGAGAAACTCACGTTGGAATGCTGACATTAAAATGAACATATTGGTCCCCGTATTTGAAAGTATTTGTTCCTGTTAAAAGAAAAACAAGTCAAAATCAATGAAAGAAGCCAGTTTACTGAAACACCATAAAAATTCAAGCAGCAACATGTTCGAATATTCAAATCAGAGTTAACATCGATCACAAAGTTGCTATAGAAGATAGCTTCTATTTTGAAATTTTAGAGTAAAAGAGAAGCTAAAATGATAAATATCTCTAAATAATATCAACTTGCATACCTTTTCTTATGCCTTTCCTTTTCAAAACCACCTTTTGACCAGGTTGGGTGCCCGGGGGAACCTGCCAAACAGAACTCATCATTCAAACAGAACTAAACATGCCAAAAGAAATAATATTATACAAGGGAGTGTTAGGAACATACTCTTTCCATCACTTTTTCTATTGGCTAAAATTCATATGGATCCCATTATTTTGAAAATTCGTCTCGTTATATAGGAAATGAGAGGTGTATAAATTAGTAGAATCCACATGAATTTTTGCCAATAATAGTGTTAGAAAGAGCATCTAAGCATGTTGCCAACACCTCTATATTATGTGTTGTAATAGCAATCCTTACCTTAAGCATTACATTTCCAGTAAAAGATGGGACCTCAATGGTTGCCCCCAAAATCGCCTGAAATAAATATTTAAAAGAAAAACAAAAGTTTCAACTATTTAATTTATTTATATTTCTTACTTACAATTATTATAACCACCAATACCAATAATGTTCCACAAACAACAAACAAGATGTCGGGGATCAAAAATATTATGACAAGATAAACAGCCAAAACAAAAGTCTCCACGCCACTGCCAAATTAAAATTGAAATAAATATTTACAAAGGAAATATTATAGAAAATCAATTTTCCCATAAGTTGGCAAACAAATTCATGCCATCAAAGCTTGCAGAGTATGGTAGTTCCTAAAAAGGTTTCTCAATTATATCAAAAGATAAACATACTACCGAATTACTATGCCACTTAGACATCTCAAGTTCATAAAGGGCTGAATTTCTTGGAGCATTGCATGTGAGTATAGTGTACAACCATATAAGTCAATTATGAAAGTAAAGTCCGACTTAGGTCCCTAAAAAATATTTAACAAGATAATTCCTAAAAAATATAAACTATCTACAATGAAACACACACATGGATTAAAAAATACCCAACCACGTAAAACCAATGCTCAAGATTTTCTTCATGAAACATTACCTGAGTAAAACTTAAAACAGCATTCACATGAACATCTAATCCTTCTCTGCGAAAAACAGGATCTTCCCTAACCTGCAAAAAGCATGGATGAAAAAAATTAATTGACTTGGCTTTAAAATATAAAGAAATAATTAAAAATGGAAGTAATTTCTAAGCTACCAAAGTACCTTGATAGTAACATATAGGTCACCGGAATGATGTCCATCTGGATTTGCTCCACCGCCTCCATACACCTTTAGAATCTCATTATTGTCAATTCCTACATATGTAAGAAAACCCATACATCATTGAAACATTTATCTCTTTGTATGCCATATAACCATGGCCTACATAACATATTACAACAACACATTCCAATTTTTTTGAAATAATTACCAGAGATAATATCCAACTTTACTGTCTTTGTTCCTTTGACAACTTTCTCACCCTTGCAAGACTTGCAGAAACTCTGATACCAATAACAAAAGATTAAAAATCATTAAAAATCAATATATCATCATGATTTCATACTTTACATTAGTATGAAAACCCCCATATCCATTGAATTATTTTAACTACAAAAATCAATGGTAGAGTGAACAAATGCCGGGTAAATGGATGGAAGAACAATAAGCAAATTACATAAACACAAGAAGTTCATACATCAATGTTGAAAGTTCTGAACCTTTTTATATAATGTATTAAATAGAAAAGAATTGATATTGCAAATTACATAGGGAAGTTTGTACCATACCGATACAATTCTCCCAGTTCCCTTGCAGGTGCCACAAGGACTCTGCATTCTGAATATTCCAGTTTGTACAAATATCTGGACATCTCGAAAATTATCAATTGAACAACACTTCTGAAGCTTGTAAAAGAATTAAATTATTTCCAACACGATACTGACCACCCCGGATCCTTTACATCGCGTACAAGTTTCAGGTCTTGTACCAGGAGGAACACCACTCCCACCTGAAACAGTTTGGCAAGTAAGGGATGTGTTGATTTTAAGGAGCATTGATTTGTCAGACTTCGAACCTAAATGAATACAAAATACCAGAGAAGGATAACAATTCATGGCTTATTTATGAACATACCACAAGCATTGCAAAGTACATCTGTTTGAAATGTCAAAGTTTTGGTGCACCCTTGGATAGCTTCGGTAAAAGATAGTTCAATGACAGTCTGTGATCAAAAGGTTATTAATATGCTTTTCATTAAACAATCACTAAGCATGCTTAATAAAGTAAGAAGAGGAGTGATCACAACATTCTCTTTCCAACACTCTTGTATTGGGTAAAATACACGTGAGTCCCACTATTTAGGAAATGGGTCTATATAAAGTGGTGGGACCCACATGTGTTTCATCCAATTAATATGTGAGTTTTGCAAAGACAATGTTTCTTTGCTATGACTAATCATGTCTGAATATGAGGAGAGAAAAAACCTTGACATCAGCACTTTGACGGAAAATGTTGTTGAAAGGATTGAAGCCATTGAACACATGCTCGAAAGGATTGAAGCCACCCTCGCCTCCAAAACCAGTGCTTTGTTGGTTTACATAGCCATCATGTCCAACCTACGAATTCATGACAAAGTAAAGTCACTGAAAGGAGAGAGACAGTAGATACTAGGGAGAAAGCAACAATCCACTCAATAAAATACACAATCAACTAAGAAACATGGACAACTTCACAAGCACATAAAACGTAAGTCGTTCATAAACAGAGAAACAAATACACCTACATTCTATAAAATGTTGCTGAATATCATAAAATTCCTAGCGATCTACTACTACTATTAATAAAGTTTTCTCCCTTCCACTTTAAAGAAGTGGGGAAATGTCAAATAAAAACAAAGAGAAGAACCATGAAAAAGCTAAAATAAAACGAGCTTAGCATTTCTACTTCCCTCCATCTTTCTTTTTCTATTTACGTAGCTTTTGAAGATTTTATAGTTCTCCCTGAAAAAGAGGCCAGCACTAAAATCATATCATTCCCTCCATATGCATTAAAATTCACACTACAGTAGACTTTTTCATTCATTAGAATTCACATGAACTTATCCTACAATATCTCCCAATTTGGTAGTAACAACAAAGTTTCTAAGAAATAGCCAGTAAAGAATTAAACCTGATCATACTGTTGACGCTTTTCCTCATCCTTCAAAACCTACACACAATAAAAGGGAATGTCAGCAGTAAAATAATTTGGGACATGAATATGGATTTAGGGGATATGCATTGTCAATGTAAAACAGTTTTCCATCGACATCCATGAAAATCTAGTATTTTCCTACATCAACCCAGCTTTTTAAGGGTATTTTGAAACTGGTAGTAAGACATGGAAAAGTAACGATCTCTCATTGGATGTCAACGTAAAACTTTTACACTGATAGTGTAAAACTCTGAATACTTAAGATAGATATTATATGGCTCTGGGCAGTATGACAAACAACAACAACAATAGTACACCTCATATGCCACTGTGACTTCTTGAAACTTCTTTTCAGCCTCAGGATCATCTTTATTTGTGTCTGGATGAAGCTTCTTTGCAAGCTGCAGCATATGGAGAAGAAATGAAGAATAGTAATAAAATACAAAAGCAGATGAATAATCCTATTTTCAAATTTAAATCAAACTTGATCTAATCTTAATTTCAAATTTAAATCAAATATAATTTAATCCTTAAATTAATCTTAACAAATCAAATGCAAACTAATAGTTCAATTTTGAATTAAGAATATAATAATTGGAATAAAAATAACAATACTAAATGATTGAATTTCTCCCAAAACTTCAATCTTAATTTTCACCACAATAGAGATTCGCTATGGTCTCCATTCGAGAAAAGCAAACAGATAGTCTGCACGCTAGTATATAATAATGTGAAATTACTCGAAATAAAACAGACTCTTCTCAGTCCCACAACATAGGAAAAGGTTGAGTTTTCATATGATTATTTTATTGTTATGATAGAAACTTAATGAATCGACGAAGTTTAACAATGCAAAGGGCTAGATATTTAAAAGAACACAAAAATCCATACTCCAATACCTATATTCATGTACATTGACAATTATGAGGAATAACCTACCCCATAGTAAGCTTTCTTTATTTCCGAAGAGCTTGCATCTTTACTCACACCAAGAACATCATAATAGTCCCTTGCCAACGGTGCTATAGAATAGTTTGAGTGTGCAAAAAAAAAAGTCAGTGACATGCACGAAACAATAAACAACTACGTATAACGAAACAAGGACATACTTCAACGAAGAAAGAACTTCAAGCTAAATCTACCATTCTAGTAAATCATAATCAATAGAAGTTAGTACCGTAGAAGTTAGTAAATCATAATCAATAGAAGCTATAAATAATATCAACAACAACAACAAAACTCCCAAACGCGAGGCCACGTGATTTCATGAGCAATAAAACAGGGCCGACATGCATCATGTAACACATGATTTAATAATTTATACCTGAGCCATGAATTGATCTAGACACCCCTAAATACGAATTAGCCACTCCCAATAGCAACCAGTTCTTCAAATTAACACTGCCTTTAACTGCAACTACGCAAGCGGAAGGTAATCAAAATCAATATACAAAACTATGACAGCATAACCTTTTCTTAAAGAGAATAACACTTCTACATTCCAACAAAACCAAAAAAATCATCAATGGTCAATTAATTAGCAAATTATTGAACTTTTCAAAATAACTATACAACAAAATTACCAAACAAAAATTAAAATAAAATAATGTTGTGTTCATCCACTAAAACATTTGTTAATTTAACGCATACCATTTGGTGCATTACTACCAATAACCCTAGATGAACTACATGATCCTAAATTCAATGTCCTATAACCCCTTTGGAAAGCTACTTCATATATCTGCAAAAAAAATGAAAAAAAAATCCATATATTTGTTAAACTATATAGTTCATAGAAAAATGTCAGTAAAAAACACACACACTCATACACAGAAGAAGAAAGGTATTTACGGAATCGTTGGCGTGAACGAGTGATCGACGAGCAAGGTGGGTAAAGAGGATGATGCTACTAGAGCGAACCATTTGGTAAATTGAATTGAATAAGAAATTAGAAAGTTTTGTTTGAAGGAGAATTGGGATTTTTTTGGGATGAATAATCAAACCCTAGAAAAAATCCCTAATTTGATGAAATGGAATTGGAAGGTTCTAGTAGAACCAGGAGGGAGGGTCGGTAAAGTTGTTACGATGGTATTGGAACCGGAATTTCCTGTTGTGTTTTGTGTTTGCGTATCACACACCAGTATTATTTTTTATTTCTTTATTTTATTTATTTTTATTTAATAAAAAAATATTTTTAAAATATAATTATAAAGCATATCACGAAATTTATTTTTATAAGACCTCCTTACGAAATGAGGTTGTATCCATCCATGTCGACTCTATTTTATTTATTTAAGGATGATGTTGTTATATTTTATTTATCCTTGTGCTTTTACTCTCCCTTGTCAAAACTTGGTGATTTATATTCCCATATTTTGGCCTTCAAATATACAACCATGTCGACTCTTTCTCCACTAAAGTCCTTCACCTCCATTTATAAAACATAGCTAAATTGAGTTTTCTCTACATCTCTCCAAATTTTCATTAGAGCTTTGTAAAGAGATAATTGAAAAGTTAAAAGACTACTCAGAACTATCTTTAAAAGAATGATTCTATCTCCAAAAAGCTTAACAATCTTCCTTTTTATTTTTTTAATCTCAATTTAATTTTGTCCATGAAAGGATTCCACATGTTGATTCTTCTCGGATTAATTTCTGTTGGGATTCTAAGAAAAGAAAAAACTTTTTCTTCAACCCTACAAGACAGAAAATTGGATGCAGATAGAAAATGAATGTTATTATTAATCCTTAAAACTCTGCTCATGTGAAAGTTTTAATCCTAAGCCTTATGCAATTTTGAATTCTCTAAAAATCGCTTTAATAGACCACATATTTTTTCAACTTCCTTCACTTATAAGAAGAGTGTTGTTTGTGAATTGAAGAATGTCCACTTTACACTTCTCCATAACATCAAGACCTCTAAACTCCCCTATCTCAGACGCCTTCCTCACCAAGCCAGCTAAACTGTCTGCAATGATCACGAAAAGAAAAGGTGATAAAGTATCACCCTTCTTTAACCCCTTACCGACCTCAAAGTCTTCAGTTGGACTCTCGTTAACCAATATTGACATTTGACTCGAGAAAATGGTAACCTTCATCCACCTCATCCACACAACACCAAAATCCATTCTCTTCATCATATACCTGAGGAAATCCCAATTCGCCCTGTCATACGCCTTCTCAAAATCGACCTTAACCAATAAGCACTCCTTCTTAGCTCTGGTAGCATAATCCACAATCTCATTTGCTACTAAAACACCACCTAGAAGCTATCTACCTGACACAAAGGTGTTTTGACACTCAAAAATCAGAGAACCCAACACCCGTTTAAACCTGGAGGCTAGAAGTTTGGTCAAAGCTTTGTATAAACAACCGACTAAACATATGAGTTTATAACTATAAAGACCTTAGGGATTATTGTTTTTAGGCATCATAGTTAAAAAAAGAATAAGTAATAGATTTTGATAGTTTAACTTTGCCATGAAATCCTTGAAAAATCTAACAACATTATCCTTAAGAAAATGTCAACACTTTCTTACGAAAATGAAGTTGTATCCATCTGGATTTGGGCTCTTCGACCCCTTAGACCCCCAAGCCGCATCTTTTATTTCTTAATAAAAAATTGACTTTCAAAGAACTTTAATCAGGCTGAGACAAAACTCTAAAATCGATCCCACAAGATGAGGTTGGCTAAAATTAGGTTCCCTAAAACTTCTCACTGAAGTTCCTTCTAACTTAAGTAACGCCCCAACTCATTATTTAAGCATTTTATTTAATTAATTTGTAATTTAGTGATTATATGAGAATTGTGGTATTTTTGGAGTGTAGGAGTAAATTGGTAATTTACTAATTATCGAATTAAGAGTTGTGAGAGCAGATAAATAGTATTATTTTAATTATTACTTAATTTTTGGTAATAAAATAATTGGAAGTGGGTAATTGTGATTAAATAATTATTTAATTAAATACTTATTTGATTTAAATAATTATTTAATTGATTTAATAAGAGAAGTGTGTCATTTTGTGATAAATGGAAAGCAAAAGGTAGAAGGAGAGAGAATTGTATTTATATGGAAAAAATCATAATTTTGAAAAATGAGCACATATAAATACTAAAAGTTGTGACAAAATTATGTTAGGATCCAATTTTGTCAGAACGTGAAAGAGGCAGAGAAGTTTCTAAGATCGTGACAGTTTTAGGAGCAAGGATTCGAGGAATTTTTCAGGGAAATCAACCTTACGAAAAATTCGAGTTAAGAGAGAGAATTGTCTACACTTAGGTGGTTTCAGGCTTGCAGGATAACAAGGGTTCCTTACCCTCATATCAGTGTCTTTAGGGATTGTTATGGGTTTCCCTAGTTTTCCTTTCTGTGAATTATGAGCTATGATATTTTCTTGCCTATTGAATTTTATTGTGTTGGTTTGTTATGTATTTGCTCGTAGACTCTAGTGGGGGATTTGGGATAAATCCCCATAGGTCTCTATACCTCATTGTTGTAGGTGATAACCTTGTGATATGATCTAATTATATGATTACCTAATTTTGTTGATTTGGTTGTTGTGTGTTGAACCTTGTCCGGGGATACGAACGATTTTGTTAAGGTCGTTTAATTCCCCAAATTTGTGATTTAAGATTCTGAAAGATTTTTCCCATTTTTTATAGGTCGGTTGTTTTTATGAGATTTTCCCAAAATTAAGAGAGCTTATTTTTTAAAGCTATTTTACGAAGAAAATCACATTTTGGCGAAAAACCTCAAACTGAAAAACTTTTTTTTTCTTCCAAAAAATCAGGCTTTTAGAAAAACCAGTCAAGAAGAGGTCAGCTATATCGCCGACGATGGGCGGCTGTGGCCGATTTCGACTGGTCTCGATTTTTCGAGAGATTATGTGTTTTTATGATTTTTCAAGCAATTTTGGCGTTTTTCGAGTTTTTGAGCATTTCTTGAAATTTTTAGAATTTGGGAGCCTTCGAGGTCATTTTTGAGTAAATTAAAGAAAATGTTTGTCCTTTCCCTACTGAGGGTATGACACAATAATAAATAAAATGCTTTTGAGGAAATATTGAGTTTTTGAGAAGAATAATGAATTTTAGAGAAACTATGGGTCCTTAGAATTTTTTGAGTAATGTGAAGAGTTGAAGACAATTGGTAATCATATAACTTTACAATTTATGATAAATTAATTTGTTTTTGAAAATACATTTTGATTATAGTAATCTAGAGAAATATTAAAGTGATGCCATTGAATGACGTTTTGAGTTAGTAATTTAGAGAGGGATTACAATGATGGCATTGAATGACATTGAATGACCTTTTGAGTTAGTAAATAGGATGTCACACAATTCACACAACAGCTGCTCATATAACAAGATATGTAACACATTCAATTTATTTGAAAATTATTTATAATAACTATAAGAACTCAATATGTCTCAAACATTACACTTTCATTGAACAACGAAAGCATCAACATAAAAAATTATTCATGACATAATTTATCCTTCAAAATAACATAAACAACAAATATTCCAGAGATATCCAAAAATCTCTAACAACGCAACAAAACACAATGTTCCCTGACCCCAGTGTTACACATCAAAGTAGACACCGACACTAAAAGGAAAACAGAAGATTTCATCTTCTACTCACTTCCACTCCTCTATTGCGAGCTATTTGTATGATGCCCATGTAAAGGAAACATTCAAACATAAGGGATGAGCTATCATAATTAGATTACAAAAAGCATGATAATTAAGTAAGCATTGAATTATTCATGCACAAACACTCATTCTACAACATACAACCATACAACAGCAGTTACAACCAACATGTCAACAAATCCAACACAACAACAAACACAACCAAATGCAATGCATTAAGACTCACAACTCGACTCAATGCATGTGGTACCATCAGTTCCTATTTCAGAACCCGATCCTTATTTCAGGATCACAATTCCTGTCAGAATTTTCATAATTTCTCTCATACCCCATATGGGCACACGACTTCCGTGATCGCTCACACCCACATGGGCACACGATCACCTCAACAACAACAACAACAATGATATGATTCTACAATTAGAATTCAGATAAGACACTCACACCCCACATGGGCACATTGTAACACCCTAATTTTTAATTGAAATATTTTAATTAATTTATTTAATTGAGAATATTCATTTTTCGGTGATTTTCGGTGTTTTGTGGAATTTTGAGAATTGTGCAATTTTTGGGTTATTTATTTAATTGGTATTACATAATATTAATTTATTAGTATTATTATAAATTAAAATAAATAATAGTGAAGGAATGGTAATTTGGGCATTAAGAGGAGTTAGTGAGGATATTATGGGAAAAACCCAAATTGTGAGGCCCAAGTCTAGGTTTAATAAAAAGGGAGTTCTGAAGGGTTTTAGGATTCATTTTGTGTTAACCGTGAAGAATTGAGGCCAGAGAGCTCTGAAGAGAAAATTGGAGGCATAAGCGTTGAAAGATTCCCTGACAGATTTGTGAAGGCTTTGAATCAATGTTTAAGGTATGAGGAGTATAGCTTTTCATGATTTTCTATGTGTAGATTTCGATGTAGTAGGGTTGATTTAAGGGTTTTATGGAGAATTATGAGAAAAAGGGATTTTGGCATTCGTGGCCTAAATCTATTGTGGGAACTCTGATGTTGTGCTGTAGTGGTAAGTATTCCTGACAGTTAGATCATAAATATGAGAAATGGAAACCTTAGGCCCTCGTGGCCAAAACCTTGAATTGTTATATGTCTGACCCTGAAGGAATAGGAATATTTTAATGTGAGTAACTCTAATGCCTTAGGGTGTAATTGAAGGAAAAATTGTGATTTACGGCTGAATATGTTCCGGGATTGGCCTAATAAACCGTAGGTTTTGCGCCTTTATCTCCGTAGAACCTTAGGG